ATGTGTATATACATATATATGTATGTATATGCATACATATATATGTATATATATGTATATATATGTATATTCATATATATGTATGTCTATATATATATGCATATAGATGTATATGTTTATATATGTATATCTATATATATGTATATATACATATAAGTCTATAATATATAATGTATATACGTATATGTAATGGATATATGTATACATTATATATATGTATTTATTAGATATATAATATATATATACATATATTTATGCATAAATATATACACACAAACATACAGATAAGTATATACAGTATATACTATTCATAGATATATATTTGTGTTTCCATAGATGTTATATAAAGATTAACATGTCGATTCATCCGCTGAAATGAGAACTGATTATATTTCAGGACGATTTTGTACATTCCACCATCCCCATTTTGTATAAGTAATGATTTTAACTTCATACAGTTTCGGCTTTGTGCATCTGGATCTGCAGAATATAAGATTATAATAAAAAAAATGTAAAAAAAAAGGATTGAAAGAGGTGCCAAGTGTAAAAAAAAACAAAGAAAATAGATGTTAAAAAATAGTTTACTGATTTTCCTCTGCATTTGACTCGCCTCTTTTGCAGATGTTTAACGACAGCACAAGAAGGCTATAAGCTCATAACGTTTATTTTCTTCCTTTACAAATAATGATGTGATCTTTTGGGAGTTCAGAATGTAGCTTCCGATGATGATGACTTAGGGCATTTTAGGAGAAAGGAAGAAATATTTAAGGGATTTTAGGAGAGAGTGAGAATTATCTAGGAAAGAGATTTATGAGTATAGAGTGTTTGAATGCTATTGAAGGAAGGAGGAATGGGTTTCCATCACTGTATATCACCAAAAGGCTGTGCGGTATACGTGATGGTGTGTATTATATACATAGATTATACATACAGTATTTAAATGAACTAAGATTTTAAATTATTTTAGTGATTAATATTTGCACGTGTATAGAATATTATATATTTGACAAATTAGATAAAAATAAATAAAAGAAGCACTTTATTCTCTTTTATTTCAACCTGTTGAATGGACCAAAAATGCTTACAGGGATCACTAGAAAACTTACATAGAAAATTGATAATGAAATTAGACAAGACAGATACGGCAACATAACGGGAAGAGCAGATTTTTGTTAATTCATCTGAATATCAATAATAATTTATTAAACATGGCCGAAGAGCTGTCATATTTATATAGCACCTGAAATCCACTTTTTTTGCCTCATAGCAATGTGATTTACTAAAAGAGGAAAGTATTTACAGTATTCTAAGTAATAGTATTTAATGTTAATTGAACTTGAGAACATTATATTTAATCAGTAATCATCAAATTAGTATTTAGACTGTAGTGCACCCTGAGGGCCTTCTTGCTTTTTTTTTGTTTGTTTTGTTTTCTTCCTGGGGTGGGGGGGGGCATCACCAAGAGCAATGCTTAGTCTATTTCTGTTTACAGGTTCTTGTATATAGGTTTGAGCTATATTCATTTGCTCTTCTATATGTTTGAATTATATTTATTTTTCTATAATTTCTTTGATTTCTTTCCCCATTGTAGGTAAAGGGCTTGTTAGCCACAAACGAGCAATTACCGGCCAGGGGCTCTCGCTAGAAGGAGGTAGGGGGGGGGGGGGTCACGCCGGGTTTTCGTCAGTCCGCCCTGAGCCGCGGAGTCAACAGCACTTGTGTCAGTCTTTTTCTTTTCGTAATCTTGCTAAATTGAAAGAACGTGCAAACTTATCGAGAAAGTCAAACTTGAAGTGTGGGAAGACATACTAACGTCACAATATTAAAATGAATGTGTCGCTCGGAGGCAAGTTCATTTCGTTCATCGGCTCAGTCCATGTAAACAGACCAAGCAACTCGGGAAAGTAGGTCGGGTGCTTCTTTATCGATAAGGTTGAAAAACAAAAAAATACTTATGAATATGGATGAGCAGCAAAATATGATGAGCAACACAATACAATTATATAAATGTAAATAAAACAGAGCGACCACCTACAAGCTTGAAAATACGATCTTTGTAATTTTTCCAACACCACAAAGGTCAACAACAACAGCTTGTGCGTTCGTATGTGCATGTGGATACACAAGTATGTCGTCTATATATATATACACACACACTTCAATGATACGCTATTCATATTTCAAACCATTGTACGCTAACATTTGTGTGTCGCTCTCGGCAGTATTAACCCCGGCGCTCTGTCTGACACTTCCGTGAAATAGGCCTCCGTGGAAGACGAAGAAAACGGTGCTAAGAAACCGTGCGCAGATTGTGACACGGGGAAGTTAAGTTACTCAAAGTCGTATGAAACCAGGATTTCTGTTTCTAATATTTTGTGCGTCACGGTGTACTTAACATTACGCAACCGTGTAAAAAGTGTCAGAAGCTAGTTCGAGCGAACAAAAAAACAAAAAAAACCGGAAAGGTGTAATTTTCAGCAGCCTACCTTTTGTAGAGACG